TGCGGCTGATTTGACCACGGAGATCGGACTCACGGCTGGATTGACCGCAGTCTACTAGCCTACTGTTTCTTCTACACAGCACTGTCCTGTAAATGACAACATCCGGTCTCAGAATATGAAACAACAGGCCTTTTTTCTGTTTCTGTTTTCTAGTGATTTTATTTTTTGTTATATGAAATAGAGAATGAAAATCGAATCATTTTTTTTATTTCGCTCATCCCTTTTTGACCATGAAAAAGAAAAACGCCTTGTATTTCAATTTTAATTTTTGTATTTTAAAACGAAAATCAAATAACCACTCGTTTTCTGTTTTTTAATATCCGTTTCTGAAAGGAAAATCCAATGACCAAAACATACACGGACCGTGTTTTCTAGTGATTTTATTTTTTGTTATATGAAATAGAAAATGAAAATCGAATATTTTTTTTAATTGCACTCATCCCTTTCTGACCGTGAAAAAGAAAAACGCCTTGTATTTCAATTTTAATTTTTGTATTTTAAAACGAAAATCAAATAACCACTCGTTTTCTGTTTTTTAATATCCGTTTCTGAAAGGAAAATCCAATGACCAAAACATACACGGACTAAAATGACACAGTATTGATTAAAAGAAAACCAAACACAAAGATCAGAAACTAAATGAAACAATTTTACATCTGAAAAAGGTCGACAATAGAAACAAAAAGCTGATTTCAAACTAAATAAGAACAAAAAGAAAATAAAAAAATCAGAATAATAAAACCAGATAGAAAATAATAAAAAAGAAATAGAATTAAATAACAAAATAAAACAGAAAAATCCAAGATATAAAGAAAAGGAAATAGAATTAGGTTTGTATTGTTGTTCCAGTGTTGGAAATGAAGCAGCTGTTTAGTTTTTCATTGTTTTAATAAAAAAATGATAAAAATAAGAATGTTTCTGGTTCCTTCATTTAAGACAAAGTCACTATTTTTATTATGTTCTCAATTGGCTAATTATTTTCTTAATACCAGAACATTTGATTATATTTAATAATATGTGTCTGTTCCTGCAGTGTTGGAATAATGAGGAGCAGGTTTCAGTTCAACAGGATCAATTCAAAGACTTTTCTCTTTAAGAAATAAACATCATGAATATAATCATCCTCTTTATCTCTAACTGCTCTGTTACACTGTCACACTGACCTTCACTGGTAATATCTTCAGTGGGACTTCATCCACAGTGTAAATGAATGGAAACAACCTCTCAGTGAAAGTGTGTGTGAAGGTGTGTATGTGTGTGTTAGTATCAGGATCAGAGAACGACAGCTTTCCTCTGTTCCAGTCCAGATTCACTCTGATCCTCTGGACCTTCTTCTGAACTACGAGACCAGTTGATGGAGCTGGTGGTGACCATGCTGAGTATTTACCTTTAGAGAACTCTATTACCCATAATCCAGACAGTATGAGTCCCTTCCTCTGGACAGACTCTGCTAACACACCCAGAAACCACAATGTACTGTCTCCAACCTCAACCTCCCAGCTGTGAGTCCCTGAGTTAAAGCCCTCAGAGCCCAGAACAGAGCAGTAATAATCAAACCTCTCTGGATTATCAGGAAGCTGCTGTTTCTCTCCTAGTGTTACACTGGTCAGATCTTCAGACAGGATGAGTTTTGGATCAGCAGTGTTTGGATCCAGAATCACAGGACTGTAGGAGACCATGTCCTTCATCTTGTTCCAGATGTTGAAGGTCAGGTTGCCCAGGTGTTTGGCCTCGTCTATCAGAGCTCCTGAGGGCAGCTGTAGATCCTCCAGCAGGGGGCGCTGCTGGACTCTTTCCACTGCAGCCTTGTAGTTGTTCAGGAATGAGACGTCTTCAGCTCTCAGCTCCTCCTCTGTGGCTCTGACTGTGTCTGAAAGAGCTGCTATCTCTCTGCTCAGAGCCTCCATCTTCTCCTTCATCATCTGACTCTTCTGCTCCTCTTCCTCCCTCAGTGCAGCCAGCCTGGCCTCCTCTTCCTCTTCTAGAAACTGGTGAAGCTTCTTAAACTGCTCCTTAATCTTCCTCTCTGTGCGTCGGGCCTGGACCTTCATGTGTTCTGCTGTTTGATCAAACTTCACTTTAACTCCTTCACAAACCTTTAACTTCTTCTTTAAGGGCTCCAGAGTTTCCTCAAGTTCCTTCTTGTGTTGTCGAGCAGCTTCATCGATGGGTCTGAATCTGTGGTTGGAGTGTTTTTGTGAATCTCTGCAGACGAGACACACTGGCTGCTGATGGTCCAGACAGAAGAGTTTGAGTTTCTCAGAGTGCAGACTGCAGAGAGCCTCTGAAGATCTCTGATCTCTCTCCTGTAAGAAACTCTCACACAGGTTCTTTAAAGTCAGATTACAGGGTGGTTCTTCCCTCGAAGATCTTCTCTTACAAACTGGACACTCACGTGTCTGTTTCTCCTTCCACCAGCTCTTCAGACAGTCTTTACAGAAGCTGTGGCTGCATGACAGAAGAACAGGATCTCTAAAGACATCATGACAGACCGGACAGCAGAAATCCTCCTCTAATCTGGAAGCCATTTTGTCTCTGAGTGCAGCTGGAAACAGGAAACAGCACGTTAAACATGAACTCAGTTGTGTTTCCTCACCCTGCTGTAAAATGTTGCATCAGTTACTTTCACTTTGAGTCTTTGAGTGTTTATTTCAGTCAGCAGCAGGTTGAACTACTTCAGTTTACTTCAGTACTTCGTCCTGTAACTGTTCTCCCTCAGTTAAAGTCACAGATTTGTAATGAAGGTAAATCTTACCGTCTGTCTCTCCGTCTGTGTGTCTCTCCTCAGTGACAACTGAACAGGAACAACCTGTTTCCTGGTTGGTCTCAGGTGATGTCATTAAGGGGCAGAGCTTTGTCAGCTGACTGCTCTGAGATCAGTCACAAAGAAAAACGACCACAAAAAATTCATTCTCACTGATATTTCTGTTTTACTTTGTTTTAAATTATCTTAAAGAAAAATATTAGAAAATACAAAACAATCAGTCCATTCATATATAGTCCAGTTATATTTCACTAATATATTTTGGAAGTTCTAGTAAGATTATTTACTGGTTTTATACAAATTAAATTAATTTTCAGTTATTTTTTTTTTTCATTATTTTTGGTTGCTGATCTTCATTTCAAAATAATAAAAATTAATTTAAAATGACACAGTATCGATTTAAAAACAAACAAAAGACTTTCAAACAAAAGAAAATAAAAACAATAAAAAACAATAAGTGACAGAAAAAGAAACATATTGAAAATAATTTTGTCAAACATGTTTTGCATTAGAATCAGATTTTAAGAAAATATTTCTAACTGTGTCTTAATAAGATCTTACAGCTAATATTGAGTTTGATTTAACCAGTAACAACAATGGTTGCATAATATCCCAGCAGAGGAAACAGATTATTGTCCTTATTTTCAGAGTAAGAGCACCCGCACAACTTCTCAGTTTAATAAAAAGTCGTCTGGTCCCAGTGTTGGAAATGAAGCAGCTGTTTAATTTTTAAACAGAAAGTTTTACACATACAAACATCACTGTGTATTTATCAACCACAACAACTAATGTAGATTAACGGACTGTATGAGTGGAGATGTGACCATCTTTTACACATTTCACAGCAACAAAGAAGATTAGTGAGCAAAGATGGAGGATTTAATATTTAATATTAATGTTCCAGAACTCTGATTTAATCAAATTATTGTTGACAACAACAAACAAACAGTTCTGACTCAGATTGTTTGTTTTTCTAGTAAAGTTCATCAAAAAACATTGATAAAACATAAAGTCTATCAATCGCTTTGCATAAGAATTCAAAATTAATTATTATTATTATGGGCCGATAATTGATCGGCTATAATTTAATAATCCAGATTGGTAATAATATAAATTTCCCACTATCAGCTAATAATTGATCTGCTCTGATGATTATCGTGCATCCCTAATTTCCTGTCTATTTCCAGTTTTTCAAGGTTTTCCAGGACGTTTGAACCCTGTTTTCCTTTTGTTTATGTGACTAGATTTCTTGTATCATAGGTGTTGTTGCAACCATTTATTTCCCACTGGGAATAAATAAACCTATAAATAAACATATCTTCTTGTTGTTGCTGTAGAAAATAAACAATAACAAGTCTTTAAAGTCGGTTAATATTTCGTATATTGTCACTGTGATCGGTCTGTTTGCCCCAAAGTTGAACAGAGAATCAGATCTTTACTCTCTAAAAGCTCCGTGTTAAAAGTTTAAACAAAGCCTGAAAACTGCAGCGCTCAGAGGGAGCATCAAAAAGGACCCAGTCGCAGACGGCAGAGCGGGCTCCATCCTTTCCCACAGATCTGAATCAGGGGTTGAATCTTTGGCACACAAAAGAACGTTTTCAGGATTGTTTTTTCCATCTTCCATCAAAATTACCTTAAAATTTACAGTAACTTACTGGAAACAATTAACCAGCAAGTTACTGTAAATATGTTTTACAGTAGACATACTGTACTTCCATTTACAGTATTGGTGTAGTTACTGTAAAATAAATACCAATTAAATACTGTGATTTCAGTTGTTTTTACAGTGCTGGTTTATTTACTGTACAAATAAAAACAGTTAAGCACTGTTATTTTTTTTAAATGGTATTGTAAATGGCAATACTGTACTATTAACAGTGGGTAACAGTTGATCATTGTAAATTCAGTTACTCACTGTACAATTTAAATACTGTATCACTTTGACTTACTATTATCCAACATTAATAGAATGACCCATATTCTAAAATATTTCAATTAACTAAAGAAAACAAGAAAATTGTTAACACAATTATTTATTTAAGACATTTGGTGAACAGGAACATGATAAAGCACAGGTTACCAAACTTTTCAGACAACAAATGTTTGGAAAAACTGTTAGAGAGATATGATGAGATGAGATAAGAAAACATATGTAAGATATAAAGGGTAAAACTTATGATAAAAAAAAACATTAGATCAAAATTATGAGATAATCATTGTTTTTATTATGATATACTTTTTTAAAAATCTAATACACACAATAAAGGAAAAATACAGTCGTTTACTATTTACAGTACTATACTGGCTATTGTGATTTTCTACAGTAACACTTCAACTACTGTGATTTTGTCACGTGGACAAGGTTTTATTGTAAAATTTACAATATTCTACTGTAAAAATCATAAACAGTAATGTTACTGTGTTTACTGCAGTAAATAACTGTAGATTTCACAGCCATTTTTTTTACAAATGAGAAAAAAGAAATATAATTAAATAACAAAATAAAACAGAAAAATACAAGATATAAAGAAAAGGAAATAGAATTAGGTTTGTATTGTTGTTCCAGTGTTGGAAATGAAGCAGCTGTTTAGTTTTTCATTGTTTTAATAAAAAAATGATAAAAATAAGAATGTTTCTGGTTCCTTCATTTAAGACAAAGTCACTATTTTTATTATGTTCTCAATTGGCTAATTATTTGCTTAATACCAGAACATTTGATTATATTTAATAATATGTGTCTGTTCCTGCAGTGTTGGAATAATGAGGAGCAGGTTTCAGTTTAACAGGTTCAATTCAGAGACTTTTATCTTTAAGAAATAAACATGATGAATATAATCATCCTCTTTATCTCTAACTGCTCTGTTCCACTGTCACACTGACCTTCACAGGTAATATCTTCAGTGGGACTTCATCCACAGTGTTAATGAATGGAAACAACCTCTCAGTGAAAGTGTGTGTGAAGGTGTGTATGTGTGTCTTAGTATCAGGATCAGAGAACGACAGCTTTCCTCTGTTCCAGTCCAGATTCACTCTGATCCTCTGGACCTTCTTCTGAACTACAAGATCAGTTTGTGGAGCTGATGGTGACAGTGCTGAGTATTTACCTTTATAGAACCCTATTCTCCAGAATCCAGACAGTATGAGTCCCTTCCTCTGGACAGACTCTGCTGACACACCCACTCTCCAGTCTGTACTGTCTCCAACCTCGACATCCCAGCTGTGAGTCCCTGAGTTAAAGCCCTCTGAGCCCAGAACAGAGCAGAACCAATTAAACCTCTCTGGATTATCAGGAAGCTGCTGTTTCTCTCCTCGTCTCACACTGGTCAGATCTTCAGACAGGATGAGTTTTGGATGAGCAGTGTTTGGATCCAGAATCACAGGACTGTAGGAGACCATGTCCTTCATCTTGTTCCAGATGTTGAAGGTCAGGTTGCCCAGGTGTTTGGCCTCGTCTATCAGAGCTCCTGAGGGCAGCTGTGGATCCTCCAGCAGGGGGCGCTGCTGGACTCTTTCCACTGCAGCCTTGTAGTTGTTCAGGAATGAGACGTCTTCAGCTCTCAGCTCCTCCTCTGTGGCTCTGACTGTGTCTGAAAGAGCTGCTATCTCTCTGCTCAGAGCCTCCATCTTCTCCTTCATCATCTGACTCTTCTGCTCCTCTTCCTCCCCTCAGTGCAGCCAGCCTGGCCTCCTCTTCCTCTTCTAGAAACTGGTGAAGCTTCTTAAACTGCTCCTTAATCTTCCTCTCTGTGCGTCGGGCCTGGACCTTAATGTGTTCTGCTGTTTGATCAAACTTCACTTTAACTCCTTCACAAACCTTTAACTTCTCCTTTAAGGGCTCCAGAGTTTCCTCAAGTTCCTTCTTGTGTTGTCGTGCAACTTCATCGATGGGTCTGAATCTGTGGTTGGAGTGTTTTTCTGAATCTCTGCAGATGTGACACACTGGCTGCTGATGGTCCAGACAGAAGAGTTTGAGTTTCTCAGAGTGCAGACTGCAGAGTTCATAATTGTATTTTGTGGCTCTCCTACAATAGGTTTAGATGTTTTAATGTTCAAAAAACACATTATTTTTCTCATACTGCCTACAGCTGAGCACCTCTTTTCAGCCTCTGTCTGAATCGATCGGTTTCAGCTCCTGTCTCTTTAAGACCCCCCCCTCCCGAAAAGCCCAGTCTGCTCTGATTGGTCAGCATTATGACACGGATGACTCTCCGGCCCCTCCCCTTCGTTGCCGGCAGGTAGCTCCTCACTGTTACTGAGATTATCTGCATTTCTACCGTCAATATTAATTCAATAACTGCTTCTAAAGCAAAAACTTCACCAGCAGACATGTTAGAGCGGGAGTCTGACCTGAAATCACAGAGAAATGAACAACAACAACAATCAGGATTACAGCTTTCTGTGACGTTTTCCTCAGGTAAATACTGATATATTAACTACATATACATACATATAACTAATATATATATATATATATATATATATATATATATATATACATATATATATATATATTAACCTCTACCTATCACATAATGTTAGTGTTTACACCTTAACTATGAGAACCAACACTGTGTTTTATGTCTTTCCAGGTCCAGCAGTGAGCAGTGACCTACAGTCTACACAGCCCAGTGAAGTTAAACATATTATAAATTACATAATATTAACAACATTAGTCAAGCAGTTGTTTCTAGTGAAGAAACAGCCAGTAAATGTACCAAAGTAATCAGAGTATGGCTCCGGAATAACAACGCTAGCGCTAGCTCAGCGAGCTAACAGCTGATGAGCAGCTACAGTTTGTTCACTCGGAGGTTTTCTGCTCTTTCTAACAGCGACACAAACATATTACTGACTGAGCACTTTAACTAAATACAGACCAACATAAAGCCAGTTACCCCCGACACAAAACCCACAACAGTTACAGAGTTACAGAGTTACAGAGCCCCCTCCTCCAGCACGAAGCTCGGTGATTCTCTGTATAAACTTATAATAAACTTTGTGTGAATCTCTATAAAAATATCAGCAGGGGAGAATATGGAGACATCTGCACCAGCTGGTTAATACATTAACTTCACCTTATAAGTTTCATCTTCATCTTTTAACATTTAACAAACAATAACAAACAATAACAAACATTTAACAAACAATAACAAACATTTAACAAACATTTAACAAACAATAACAAACAATAACAAACATTTAACAAACAATAACAAACAATAACAAACATTTAACAAACAATAACAAACATTTAACAAACATTTAACAAACAATAACAAACAATAACAAACATTTAACAAACAATAACAAACAATAACAAACATTTGACAAACAATAACAAACATTTAACAAACAATAACAAACAATAACAAACAATAACAAACAATAACAAACAATAACAAACATTTAACAAACAATAACAAACAATAACAAACATTTAACAAACAATAACAAACAATAACAAACATTTAACAAACAATAACTACGTTAGCATCACTGAGGCTCCTGCAGCTAACAACGGTTAGCATGTGCTAGCAGTACACGAACAATGAAAAATAAAGTATAAACTCTTAAAAATACTTCCAGTGACTTCCTCTGCCGTCTCTCCACAGACAGTTGGTACAATCCCTCTTTCAGGAACAGTCTTTCAGTCAGTCCACTGTTGTACTGACCGAGGTTGTTCACACACACCTTCCAGTTTTTCTGACTCTAGTCGGACATTGTCGTAAAAAAATATTTACACACATTTACATACATTTACATATGTAAATTTGTGTTGGGCTGTGCAGCCAATGACTGAACAGTTTGTCTGCTGAGGCCTTTGCCCAGACATCAGACTGCAGGCTGCAGGCTGGACTTGCTTGTTCTCAGCTAGCTTGCCTTTTATACTCGCAATGGCGGAGCTCCGATAGTCAACAGGAAGTAAAGAGAGGTGGGTGGCAACAGGCAGAGCATGTGACGTCACAAACTACACACTACAACCTGCGTGATTTCTCTCCTATATTCTGACTGAGGCAGCCCACAAAAACATGACTGAGTCATTTTTTTCATACTTTGCTGCTGATAGGCCCTCCAGAGTCCCAAATGTACATAATAACATGATTAAAAAGTTGGTTTTGCATAATATGTCCCCTTTAATGTATCTTGACTCTACCTTACAATCTGATTGGCTGCTACATGTGAATGAAAGGAGGGAACAATCAATATTTATATAATAATGTCATGAAAATGAAACTACAACACCTGAACGTCAACAGTGGCAGCACGAGACAAACATGGCCAGCAAACTTCTTCATCCTCGTAAGTATATTTACAATAATACTCGAAATGTGGCTACGAGATAAATCAACTTTTAATGGAAAAATACCTGAGTGGAGAATGTATTGATTTTCAATGCCGAGCTGATCAGTGTTAACTGTGACACTTTCATTCATAGTAACATTATTTATTGTACAGCTTCAACTGTGTTTTTATGTATTTTTGAATGCTATTTGCTAAAAAATGCTAAACTTAATCAACATTTTCAACTAAGGTGTTTAAATATACATGACAGAAATTAGTTATCTGTCTTAATGGACTCTCCTCAGAGAGGAATCTAATCCAGCTAGTCTCTGACAGGCGTGGTACTTTCTGTCTCTTGTACATTGGACGCCAAATGTTTGTGTATAATGGCTGTTAATTAATCTAAAACCGGGGTTCCACAACCTTTCCATGCCAAGACGCTCAAATAGCATGAGGTTACGGTCGGTTCCCCCTTCTGGAAGCTCAAAAACACACAGATAATACTACTTCCTTACTTTTATTAATGCAATAATTATCACATTTCTGTTTAAAATCTTTAATCATTAAATTAGATTTGACATGACACGTTTTAACAGCTTTGACTCAGACGTTACCAGGTCCACACTGACAGTTTACTGTATAAGATAAATAATGTTTTGACTGGCAGGAAATCAGGGAGATAGGTATGGACAGTAAGATTTGAATATATATTATTATATCAATGTAATACACATAATAATAGGGAAAGTAAGGGGATTAGTGATTATTCGTGTTTCAGTGTAAAGAGAAGTAATAACGGCCTCATTACTATATTTCAACAGAATATCAGCAGTGCAAAGACCAAGAGCTCCAGATTGTGATAGTTGGGAAGACTGGAGTCGGTAAGAGTTCGACAGGAAACACCATCCTGATGAAAACGGCTTTTCAGACTCGGATACAGCCATCCTCGGTGACACAGGCCTGCAAGAAGGAAAAAGGAGAGTTGGATGGACAGAAGCTGGCTGTTGTTGATACTCCTGGTCTGTTTGGAGGAACAAAATCTGACATCAAGGTGATGGAGGAGATCAAGAAGACCGTGCTGTCGGCTTTAGATGGCCCCGTTGTGTTCCTGGTTGTGCTCGAGTTGGGCGAACTGACGGAGGACGAACGGAAAACAGTGAAATTATTACAGAAGACCTTCAGCAGAGAGGCAGCACATCACACCATGGCCTTGTTCACTCGAGGAGATGATCTGAAGGAACAAGGAGGTTCCATAGAGGACTTCATCGGAGCAAACCCAGCTCTGCGTGACTTCGTCAGGGAATGTCGGGGGGGATACCATGTTTTTGAGAACATAGACGGAGATCCCTCTCAAGTTGTTGAGCTGCTGCAGAAGATCAACAGCATAGTGCGGAGAAATGGAGAAAGCTACAATCTAAAAACACCAGCAACAGAAGAAGCAGAAAGAAGACCTGGATTCATCAAGGTCTGCCTTCAAGGTGCTTTTACTGGAGCGTGCACTTTAGTC